AAAAGAGGGTGCGAAAGACATGGGATAAATCAGATTTCTAGTCAAAAACAGATGGTACTCCAAAATCTCTGCTGTCACGCGAAGTCACCAAGACTGGGCGTGCTGTGCATCCAATTTAACAAGATGAGGTCCTTCAATACCATCCAAACCAATGTTCCCACAAGTAGAGCTGAAGAACAAAAAACGCAATAATTTTATTAAGCACTGGAAAGAACATTGGTCCGATGGTCAACAGAGACTCGTCAAGGGAGACGTCAGTGCCAAGGTTGGACGAGGAAAAGCCGATGGAAAATTTGTGGATAGCCACGGCACCAGAAATCGAAATGATAGAAGAGACCGGCTGCTGAACTTGGCAAAAACAAAATACTTGTACACTGACAACCCCTGGCCCAAGAAAACCGACAGGAAGGTGCACATGGATCGCGCCCATCGCGGCAACAATCCACGATATCGACCTCGTCCTGTTCAGCAAGCGCCGCATCATGCGTGACATACCAGCGGCACCGATAATACGTACCATGACCACCTTCTGGTGCGGTCCAGGCTAACCTTCGAGGAGAAGATCGAGAGGAAAGCACTGCAGACGGCTAATGGAAAAAACAACCAAAGGTATTCGACAAGGCAGTGATCCAAGCATGTATTTCCAGCGAAGACGAGAGCCTGAACTTCTGCTGAGACGGCGACTACGAAAAGTTCGTCGAGAAACTGAGACGCTAAAAAACGCCAGCCGAGGTGGTAACACCAAAGAGAGCAAAAGGAAGGATCGCAGAACAAAGTGTGCCACAGAGGAGGAAAAGAATGAGAAGAGATCGGCCGATACGGTGAAGCAACCTCTTTACTGCAAGCTGCTTAGAAAAAAGCCGAAGAATGACTCCGAGACCGTCCGATTGCAAAAATAAAAGAAAACTGCTGAACGTCACAGAAGCTTCAGACAATGCAGGTATGCATCATCGGTCGACCATCACGGATATGGCGCACTGACGTTACACCCAGCTCTTTGCATTAAAGAAACGCGTTCCCCCAGTATCAGACCGGTCCTCATAGTCGAAGTTCAGCACGCCGCGAAGCATATGAAAGAAGTTACAGCCTACGCGAGAGACGGTATAACAAATGATATTATCAGAGCGCATGATCAGACGCTGATTAAGAGACTCAGTTGCTACCTCAAAACGGAAATGACACCATAAAACTGGAAGGAGTGAAAAACAATCGTGTTTTCCAAGATGGACGAGTAAGAAGATCTGAGGACCATCGCCCAATCTGGCTGCTCTCACAAATTTACAAGATGTTCACTAAGATCATCGCCAACAGACTGTCAACCGATCTGGACGAACAGCAGCCGAAAGAACAGAAAGGATTCCGAGGGAAGTACAACACAACGGAAAACATCTTTCCCTTAACTCAACTACTCGAATGCGAGTAAGAATTTCAGCCCCTTCTGAGCATATCCTTAGCCACTACGAGAAAGCATCCGTCACTGTCGAGTACTAACGGAATGTGGACTGCACTGGCAGAACAAGGCATCA